ATGTAAATACTTTTGAAAATGTTGTAACAATGTTATATGGAGACGTCGCCGATTGGGTTTTCACAAAATCACGTGATGCCTTTGCTGTGAGTTGTTTACAATTAGTCTGAGTGTGCAAGAGAAAAGGAAAAGGACGGAAAGAAATGGACTTCTAGTAACTCCTAACCTTCTGGTTGGAGGGGCATACGGTACAGACAATTTAGAAAATGTATATTTTGTTTAATGAGTTTAATTTGATAATTCATGTAGGTTTTATTGATGAATATTTTCCACCGTGTATTTTGCAGTGTTCACGGTGGTCTTGGGCGTTTGCATTACGGCAAATACGTTAATAAACGTTTCGAACCATCAGTCGGATGTCTGCACTTTCATAAACCAGTTAGAAAAAGTTGGGAGCAGCTATATGGGTCCTTTTTAAACATAAACTTAAAGACTTTTTATTGAGAGGTCAGGCATGTGGACATTAATAATCTGACTGTCTTGATCTTGTATCTGTGATGTTTTAGTGTGTAATTTGTTCTGTTGTGTACAGTCACTGTGTTTCGTGTAAAAGCCTAACTGGTGACAGGCGTTGAGAATTAGCCTTATAGCTAAAAATGTTATAGTGTGTGACATGTTTCATGAAACATACTTGTCCCTATAAAATAAACAAATAAATAAATAAAATGTCTCATATCTGAGGCCCAGTGGGCTTCAGCTCTGGGGGAATGCATTAAATCCTTCGGCTTGTTGTCACACTTACCTGTAGTTACATCTTTTCTTATTCCCCTGACAGAGATAGTTGCTCCTTTTATGGGATTCCCATCAGTATCCTTCACGACTCCCTTAATCCCCCGGTGAACCTGTTCAAAGGAAGAGAGCAATTTAACTCATTGACTGCCAGCCATTTTCAGAACAGAGAGTCCCATACTGCCAGAGTTTTTTTAGCATTTTGACTGATTTTTCAAGAGCCACAGAATAGTTTGTGCTATGACTATGTAAACACCGAACACACCAAAAGAAAGAGTAGACTCTCTTCTTTCAACAGGAAAAATAATTTGTTTCTACCTTATTCCGTTCTTCCTGGACTTGCGTCTCACCGGCGACATGTTCTCTCATAGAACCGTTACCTTTTTCTTATTTGCCTACAGTCTATGCTCATCTCCCATCAAAAGTGGCACTGCCCCCTAGAGGGTCAATTTGTTACTACATACTCTGTCTAGAAGCCGATATTTACGGACAAGCTTTAGCAGATCGTCCCCCAGCCACTCTCGTTGAAAAACATAAAAGACGTCTATAGACGTCTTTGGCAGTCAATGAGTTAAACATGTACTGTTTGCGAGTTATGACCCATTTTTTACCAACCTGTTCACAGTTTTTAGAATGTCCTTCTTTTAAAAACATCCATCCATTATCCTAACCTCTTATTCCCTAATGGGGTCGGGGGGGGTGGAGCCTATCTCAGTAGCCAATGGGGAGAGGCGGGGTCACCCTGGACGGTCCCCAGTGCATCACAGGGACACACAGAGACACACAAGGACCCACAACCACACACACTCACACTAAGGGCAGTTTGGAGTCCAACAACCTAACATGCAGGTTTTTGGACGGTGGGAGGAAGCCGGAGAACCCGGAGAGAACCCACAGACACAGGAGAACATGCAGAACCACCCAGAAAGGTCCTGGTTCCCCCGGGACTCCAACCCAGAACCCTCTGGTCCTGGTTCCCCCGGGACTAGAACCCAGAACCCTCTGGCTGTGAAGCTAATCACCACTGTGCTTTCCCTTCTTTTAAAAACATTTGAAGATGAAAAGCCTTCACTCACAGACTCCAGGAATCCCAGCAGGGCCTCTTTGTTCCTTTTCCACTCCGGGTAGAGCTCGGCCTCCGAGGGGAATTTGTCACAACCGAGCTCCACCGTGATCTCCAGACAGTTGGTGTGCAAATAGTTAAAATCAGACATACCTGCGGATTAGAGATGCTCAAGTGGTGTTAGAACCAGGGAAAGAAGCGAAGGGGAAAAAAACTCCTTTAGACTGTTAGAATTTGGCTATAAATACTCACTTTAGCATTGTATGCTATCACATGATCTGTGTAAATTACTGATTGTTT